CCTCGTTTTCTGGAATGCATCGTCGAATCACAGTATCTGCGCATTGCTTATATAAGAAAGGATCATCCCAGAAATATCTCTTTGCCTCATAAAGGAATTTCTTCCTTTTTTGAGACGAGTAGCCATAAGGCATTGTACCTGTGGAAAGGAAATTAGCCAAGTCAGCATACCAAGGTGATTCAGTTTGCAACAGAGCTAATAAATGTTCGGCAGGAAAAGAATCATCAAAAGGGATATCATCCTCATCCTCAAGGTCGAGGAGAAGGCGGGAGAGGTGGTCTACGACAACATTCTTTGTCCCTTTTGTATCCTTAATCTCTATATCATAGTCCTACAATTGAAGGATCCACCGAATCAACCGAGGTTTGGCATGAGTTTTGCTCATCAAGTATCTCAATGCTGCTTTTGAGCCAACTAAATAAGAATGAAACTTGTCAATTGCATAAATTACAGCTAGCATCTCTTTTTCAATTGTGGCATAATTCATTTGAGAAAAACTAAGAGTCTTGCTAACATAATAAATAACATGAAGCTTTTTATCCTTTTGTTGCCCCAAAACGGCTCCCAACGCATAATCACTAGCATCACACATGATTTCAAACGGTAAGGTCCAATCTGGGAGCTGCATGACAGGAGCAGAGATCAAAGCTTCCTTCAACCTGTTAAAAGCTTCAAGACAAGCATCAGTAAAAAGGAATGGAACATCCTTAGCTAAAAGCTCAGTTAGAGGTCGAGCAATTTTTGAGAAATCCTTAATAAAGCGACGGTAGAAACCTGCATGACCAAGGAAACTTCGAACTCTTTTTACAGAGTTCGGAGGGGGTAAACGCTCTATGACCTCTATTTTGGCCTTATCAACCTCAATACCCTTATTTGATATAACATGACCTAAGACAATTCCCTGTTGCACCATAAAATGGCATTTTTCCCAATTTAAAATAAGATTGACTTCCTTACATCTATGAAGCACCTTTTTCAAATTTTCAAGACATACATCGAAAGATGTTCCATAGACAGAAAAATCATCTATAAATAATACCATAGAATTTTCTATGAGACCTGAAAAAATTGCCATCATACAACGTTGAAATGTGGCTGGGGCATTGCATAATCCAAATGGCATCCTACGATATGCAAAGGTGTCATATGGACATGTGAATGTGGTCTTTTCCTGATCACAAGGAAGAATAGGAATTTGGAAAAAACCAAAATATCCATCCAAATAACAGAAAAAGGAATGCTTAGCTAACCTTTCAAGCATTAGATCAATAAAGGGTAGGGGGAAATGGTCCTTCTAGGTGGCCTTATTTAATTTCCTATAATCAATACACATTCGCCACCATGTGACAGTCCTAGTGGCGACTGGCTCACCCTTGTCATTCTTGACAACGGTCATACCTACTTTTTTTGGTACTACTTGTACAGGGCTAACCCACTTGCTATCTGAGATGGGGTAGATTATTCCTGCAGCAAGCAATTTAAGAACCTCTTTTTCACTACCTCCATCATATTTGGATTAAGCCTTCTTTGAGGTTCTACAGAGGAAGCATGATCGTTCTCAAGGATGATTTTATGCATACAAAAAGAAGGATTAATATCCTTAATATCATCAATGGTGTACCCAATTACACTTTTATATTTTCTTAAAACAGTGAGCAATTGCTCCAATTTTGTGTCCTTGAGTTCAACATTAACAATAACAGGGTATGAGTTATCAAGACCAAGATATGCATATTTGAGATTAGAGGGAAGAGGTTTCAAATCTACCTCGGGAGGCGTAGTACTCTCCCCAACACTCGCTGCACTATGTACTTCCCTGATTGGAGTAGTGACTGGGTTAGCTTTTGCTTCTTCAAGTAGCCTGATATACTCCCTTGATTCCCAATATCCATCATCATCCTTCCCTACTAGCACTTTTTCAAGTGCATCATCTGTCTTGCTCAAAGGAATTTGCTCACTCTATAAATCATCAAGCACATCTACCTGACAAACAGTCTCTCCCATAGAAGGAGTGCCCATAGCATTCAAAAGTGAATACTCCATTTTCTCGTCGCCAACCTCAAAGGTGATCTTACCATTTTTCATATCAATAATTGCACCTGCAGTAGCTAAGAATAGACTACCAAGAATAATGGGAATATGTGCATCTTCCTCCATCTCCATCACAACAAAATCACAAGGAATAAAGAATTTACCTACGCGAAGAGGCACATCCTCGAGTACACCCAAGAGAAACTTAACTGACCTGTCTGCAAGTTGTAGAGATATGCATGTGGGTTTAAGTTCACCCATTTGAAGCTTCTTGCAAATAGAGAGTGGCATAAGGCTCACACTTGCTCCAAGATCACATAATGCCCTGTTAATTTCAATATCTCCAAGCTTCACTAGAATTGAATAACTACTTGGATCGCCTAGTTTCTTAGGATGAGTATTCTGCAAAATTGCACCACACTCTACAGTCAAAGCAACTGTAGCATTCTCTTCTAGATTTTTCTTATTAGACAGCATATCCTTTAAAAATTTAGCATAAGATGGCATTTCGGATATAGCATCTAAGAATGGAATATTAATATGAAGCTTTTTCAGGATATCAAGAAATTTACCATACTTTTTCTCAAGCTTAGCCTGGGCTAACCTCTGTGGAAAAGGAACCTTTGGCACATATGGAACAACAGGTGATGAAGTTGCTTCCTTTGGTTCTTCCTCGATCATAGCACTATCAATCACCTTCTCACTTTCACCTACTTCTTCATCAACCTCCCTCGATGGCTCCTTGGTAGGAGGATCTTTCAATTGCTTCCCACTCCTTAAAGTAACAACATTCACATGCCCTTTTTGTGGTTGCTCTGTCTGACCCGGAAAAGTGCCCGGTGTCTTTAAAGATTGGACAACTTGATGAGCAAGTTGACTTATCTGATTTTCCATGAGCTTACTCTAGGATTGTAACTGTTGTATGGAACCATTTTGTTGTTGTAGTATAGTGGTAAGCAGTGACAGGTGGTTTGACAATGCTTGAGAGGAGTCCGATTGTCGTATCAGAAATACCGTACTCCAAAAGAGATTTCGTGTTATCTTCCATGTTTCTATTGTTCTGATTTCTCCTTCTTCTTCTACCTCTTCGTCTCCTTATAGTCGCTTTGATTTAGAGTCAAAAGGTTCTAAATCGTCTGACCCTGAACCTCGTGTTTTCATGCAACAAGGAACTAAAAGCAGAGTATCAAAAACACAAGAGACAATAGCCGAAGTAACGAATAAAGCTTAGCAAAAACGAATCACAGATAATCAAACGAAACCGTTAGTCCCCGAAAACGGTGCCAAAATTTGGTAGGCGTGTTGCGTACCTAAAAAAAATAACCTAACGAGACCACTACTATGTAGACGGACAAGTAAGGATCGAATCCCAAGAGACTAAGGTTCACCTAATTAAATATACTCAAATTATCACTAAGCAAGTAACAATCAATGGTGAATAATTCTAAGAACTGATATATAAAGGACTCAATAAATCTAAGAAATGTGATAAATCAATAAACTAAAGCATCCAAGATCAAGCATTACCACGAATATAATAAATGCATAAATAATTCTACCCCCAATAACAATTCAATCGACAAGAGGAAAAGTACTCCCTAGAAAATACCAAAGGTCTCTTTCGAGTTATCAATGGCTTCCCAAATCAACTATCAAGCCTATTTCCATGGAATAAAGCAAATAAGGGACATTAAACACAATACTTAACTTCCTAATCATTCAATCGTCTACTTCTGTGATGACCTTCAAACCCTTAACTGAAATACCCAAATCCCATTAATATTCAACTTCCGTTGCAATAAGAACAAAGGGATGATAACAATACCAATTATTCCTAATCTAGTATTGGCATAAACACAATTAATCAAGCATGTCAATTGGAAAATATTATTGGAGAATTTAAAGATTTAATCTAAGAATTAATCATATCCGGGCTTTGCAAGATCCTGGATTATGAATCTACTCACACATACTAGCAAAACCTACAACAATATTCAATAAGGAGAACATAATCAAAAAGCAATAATAATTGAAAGAGAAGAGAAATAGATGAATACCAATGATGCTTCAATTGAAATAACTCAAATTGTTGATGAACAATAATCAAATCTAATGGTAGAATTAAATTGCATAAAAGAGAGTAACTAGGGTTCTAGAGAGAAAAATAATGCTAATGGACATAATAAAAGTGTTTTCTAATTGTAATTACAAAGAGTATTTATACCCTCATAAAGATAAATATTCGAGAATAATAAAAACCGGCTACGCAAAACGATGCCCAGTCCAACCGAGCAAGCATTGCCTGATCGGGCAGGTGTTAATACTGAGTTGCTGAGTTTCGTACTTCTTCTTCTCCCTTGCGCGCGGTCCCACCGGGCGAGTGGTGCCTGATCGGGCGCGAGGGTCTTCTTCGTATAGTAGCCTGCTTGTTGCCTTGCGTGTCTTCTTCCTAGCCTTCCTTCTACCACGCGCCCGGTCCAACCGGGCGGACCTAGCCCGATCGGGCGCGTGAGACATTCTGCCAAGATTGTTGCCTTCTCGTCCTAAAATAGCTCGGCTACACATTCTTCAATGCCCGGTCCCACCGGGAAAACCATGATCAACCGAGCACTTGGGAGATCATCCTCTTCGCTCACTAACAACCTCCATAAACATATAAAACATGTTCGATTCATCCAAGGAACTCCACATTCCTACAAAACTCACAAAAATACATCGAACACACCAGAGAAGAGATTGTTAGCGAGAATTGGCTCCAAAGAGCCTAAAACCATGCAAGAATACGTTGTAAAATCGGGATAAATCATGGTATAAAACATGTACATCATAATGGTGTTTCAGTTATCATTTGAGAGCTTGACTTCGAATTAAGGCACAAATTCCTGCTTTGCTTGACTTTTTTGGAACTGTGTTACATAAAAATAATATGTTGTTTTGTTATGTGATCTGATTATATGTTTTTTTGCTAGTGTGATATGATCAGTACCTACTTTGATCAAAGGCTTACTCAATCTGGAGATATGGTTGACTACGCTTTGGAGTTTCCCACTTTGAATTGGAGATCTAGCAAAGATAATTCAGATTCTGGTGTTTATATTATGATGACCATGCTTTAATTCAATGGGGCTGATGAGTTTAAATGTGAAGTTGTAAAAACAGTTATGTTTCTCTCCCTTTTAAATTATTTGTTTAATTTCTTTTTATTAATATCACAATATCTTATATTGATTACTTACTTTTTTAGGCTTCAAATAGGAGGATTCTCCGGATTCAAATTGGTGCATCTTTGATGTTATCTGATATGAATGAAGCTAGATCAATTATAATTGATAAGGTGGCTGAATTCAAACCTGATAGGCAGCGTCTTTAAAAAGAGGTTGAAGAAAGAAGAAAGAAAGAGATTGAAGAGAGGAAGAATAAGAAGAAGCCAACTGAAGACAAGAAGAAAGGAAAGGGGAAGGCTTAAGATGTAAGAACATGATTTTTTTACTTAGTTATTTTTCTGATGCTAAGCAAAGTACTGTGAACATTGAAGATTGGTATTAGTATTAATTCAACTTTCGTGTATGATATTGAAGAAGATTGGAAAAATATTCATTTTGTGTAAACAAGCATTTGCCAACATTTTATGAAAATGGTATATTGTTTGTTTAAAAAAAAGTCTCTATATTAATATACGGGTTACTATGTTAATGTGAAATATTATTCTAAACTTAACTTTATAAAGGTCTTTATGTAATAATAAAGGTAACTATGTTAATATTAGAGGTTTACATTGAAATGAAATGTCACTATATTATCATAGGTCACTATATGTTAAAATAAAGTCACTTTATTATTTATAAGGTCTTTGTTTGGTTAAAAAAGGTCACTTCGTTTTCAATATTGTATAGTGTGAATATAAAAAACTATGTTAAATTAATGGAAATTATCGTAGGTCACTATATATTAAAATAAAGTCACTATTTTATTAATAATGTTACTTTTATAAATATAAAGGTAATTATGTCAAAATTATGGACTATATGTTCATTAATGTAAAAAAATTGACAATATAAGGGTATGAAATAAAGATTACTATTTAGGAATAAAGATCGCTATATTGTAAAAAAAGGTTACTATTCTAAAAAATTTAGCTATATCATAATAATCAGTATTTAAAGATTACTATATTAATCATAAAAGACACTATATCATAATAATCAGTATTTAAAAGATATAAGTTTCCAAAAATGAAATTACATATAAAACGTAACCATGTAACAATACAGGTTACTATGACAAAATTTAGTGCTCTTAAGACAACATTTGATGTCTTTAGACTATCAAAGCATATACTTATTATTAATATTTGGTGTTTTGGCACCAAATTCTCTATGCTTCCTCCTCTTTCCCTTTTTCATGTAGTCATAGCTTCCTGGAATCCTTTTATTTGATTGTTTTCCTTTAGTTTTTGCACCAGCTGGATCCAATACTTGAATAACACTAGATGAAGTTGCTTCTGAATTCTCTTCTACACCTTTAGTGTTCTCAGAATGGTTGTTAGTTGATTTCATAGCAGAAATAATCTCATCTATTGCACTTGAATCTTTTGTGAAGCTTTCTTCTAAGACTTTTCTTGCTTGTTTAAACTTGTGGCTCTTAAGGATTAGACTATAATACTTCCTCACCATGTGTAGCCGCCAGGGTGTGAAGTTGTTTAATGTCCCCTTCTTCTTTTGCTCTGCCTCCTTACTTTTCCAAACTTTAACCTTAGCCATTTTAGTCCACCTGAAAGATATGTATTGCTCTGAGATTTTTTCAACAGAATACATGTGCAAGATTCTAAGGCTATGGAAGCATAACCAACCCGACTCTTTAAAATTCTTGCATGGACATTGAATTGTTTGGTTTGCTGGATCGTAAGTTACTGCTTGAGTTGTGCCATCTCTGCCTTCAAGGTACACTTAGTAAACCATTTTGCCTCCATTAATCAATAGCAGTTTAGTTTAAGATCCAATGGTTAGGTTGAATTCTTCTTCAAAGTCCCTGAATAATGTATGTGTATAAGCCTTAGCAGCATGTTTAAGTAAGGCAGACGTTGGATAACTTGAAGTAGGAATTGATTTTGTGCTATTGAACTCATAAAAATCCTCATTCCTTCTCCAAGTCTTCACTGTCTTTTGAAATATGTCGTAGAATTCTGTCAAACTTGTCTTCTTGTTTGCTTTAAATCCCACTACATGATTTGTGCTCTCACTTCTCTGTGACGACAAGATTCCCACGGAAAAAAGTCCTTTCTTAGAGCTGTTGACCACTTATGCTTTAGTGAGTATAACCTCTTGAACAAGCAAGACAGTGGCTGCTAATATGATTATGCAATACCTTGTCTATTTGGTTGGTTGATCGTGCCCTTACATACAGTGAAGTAAACTGTTGAGCAATATGTATTGGAGGAAAGAGTTCAATGTAGGCATGTAGCTCATTGATCTGTCTTCATGGCATAAATGTAATCAAATCTTACATTTGAATTCATAAAAAAGAGTTTTACGAGGAAATTAGAGAATTCCTATTAAAGAAGTCATGCCAAATTGGTCTGAAGTGATTGAAAACTTATAGTTGCAGATTATGTCTCCAATATGAAACTTTTAACAATGGATTAACTTTATTAGGCAATTAGCTTAGGTTGTTTGTTGACTCTAGTTTGCAATTAAGGCAATTTTCTTTGATAATAACTAAGCCTTAATTTTACCACTCTGAGCTATGGTTTCTATCTTTCAAATATTAGGTGTCGTTTGGTTCACCTAAGGGAAAGGTAATGATTTAAAGAAAGGGAAAGGAGAGGAATTGAATGCAACTCCCTTTGTTTTACAAAGTTGTTGGTTTTAAATAACAAAAGGAAACAACTTAAAAAAAAAATACTACACTACACAACCAGCAGTCCACCACTTCTTCACTTCTCTTTCCCTCTTTCTCCGGCAGCCCTGAAGACCCCAACCATCCAACCACCCCACCGCCTCCCCTAGCCGCCCTTCCGCCACCCTTCTGCTCATCCCCGACCACCTCTAAACCACATCGTTGAAGCACTCAGCTGCCCCTCCCCCATCGTTGAAGCACTCAGTTGCCCCTCCCCCATCGTCGAAGCACTCAGCTGCCCCTTCCCCCACCCTCGAAACCCCCGGTCGCTAGGTTTTGAGGGTGGGGGGAGGGGCGGTCGGTTGTTGTAAGGGGAGGGGGAGGGTTTTTTAGTGTTATGTGTGGGTGAGGGGGGGTTTTTCGGGGAGGGGAGACATTTTCAGGGTGAGGGGAGGGGCGGCAAAGGTCGGAGGAGGGGTGACGAACGTCTGTGAGGTGCGGCGGTTGTTCCGGTGGAGGGGAGGGTTTTTTTAAGGGTTATGCGTGGGTGGGGGGAGGAGGATTTTCGGGTGGGAGGATGGGCGGTGAAGGGCGGCATAGGGCGGTGAGGGTTGGGGGAGGGCCGACGAGCAACTGGCGAGGTGCATCCAGCTGATGTGGGTATGGTGGTGGACCCCTGGTGGTTGGGGAAAGGGAATGGAAAAGGTAGGGGGGTGGGGAATGACAAAAGATGCAAAACAACCACTTACAAAGGTAATCATTCCCATTCCCTTTTCTCATTACAGCGAACCAAACCGCCCCTTAGTCTTTACAATGTATTAGGTTTGAGTTAATATTCCAGAAATCAATAGGCTTTTTTTTCATCTTAAATTTGAGGTTTAAATTTACAGATTATCATTGTTCTTTTTAAGTAATGAGCTGATCGTAATTGTGTCTACAACTTTGTTTAATATCCCTTTGATCAATATTTGTTTTAAGTATATTTTTAGATTACTGGAATCTCTCTTTGTTTAAATTTTCTAGGTCATTGAGTTTAGTTATTACATTGTGGAAATTAAAATTCCCAAGAAGTCTCAGTGTCTTACTCGGTCACTCCTATGTTATTGCCTACCAAACAAGTTCACATACATCTATTTCGTAGGCAAAATAAAACTACCATGTATATGTATGCAACCAAGCAACCACATAGTATGGTTACCTCACTACAATGACCTTCCATGCATAAACATGAGGAAAGCTATGATTTTTGGTCATTAGGATCTTCTATATATGTGTATCCAGGAACAACCACTGTTTTGTGCTTTTGTGATTGTACAGGCTTTGAACCATTGTTGATATTATGGGGTTTTGATATGTGATCAATAAGTTTTTTTTTTGTAACTTTTGACATTAAGGTTTCTTATTCATTTTATAGTTATCTCCTATTTCATCGAACAAATTCAGACCAACCAGGTTATCTCGAGCTTCTGCTTTTGCAAGTTTTTACCTGTTTTCCCTTTTACAGTTTCTTGGTCCTTGATATTGAGTTCATAAAACCTTTAAAGTGATTTATATGGATAAATACTAAGAATTTAGATATATTAGTATGTCTCTTTACAGAATTATTTCTTTTCCGTTAAGCAACCAGAACTATTTCTGTAAAGAACTATTTCTTTTCCATTAGTAGAAGGACTAATGTGCCTAATCTAGCAGATCTAGCTGTAGTCTCTGAATGCCAAAGTGTGACTAAGGATGACTTCACTTGCTTCAGTAGATAGACTCAGGGCTTTTTGTTAGAATCATCCTGCTGCTTGTCTGACCTCGTTGACTATACTTTCAGATTTTCTTTGTGTAATTAGCAAATTTGGTTGCTCAGAATGAAGGCAAAAATTTATTTCCGGTTAATTTTTCTTGAATCATGGTTCAATTTCCATAGGAAAAGGAGGTAGCTAAATCTTCTAATGAATGGTGGAAGGCTACCCTGAAGATACTAAAAGAAGCCTCTATATCCATTGAGCTTGAAAGTCACCCTACGATCTGTAAGCTCTTTGTAACATCTTAACTCAGGCTTCCCTCAACGATCTTTACTTATGCTTCTGATATGCTGCCTTTTTTTATTATAATCAAATTCAGATCCGTGATGGGAGATTCCAGCCTATCAACAAACTTCTAGCTCGGCAATACAGAACAACTGTTAATTACATATCCAAAAGAGCTTCCAATGACTTCTATGAGGTATATGTTGTTAAATTATCTCTAATATCGTAAGCAGGATTTGAATACCGAAATTTCTGAAAGTTCTCTGGTTAGGGTGTTAGGGAACACTTAGTCAACAAAGACTTTGCTCCTAAAGTAAGCCTTCCTAAATCAATGCTTCTGAATGTTTACTACTCAGTATTTGTACTTAGTGTGAACATTTTGTCCCCTTTGCTTATTACCAATATAATGAATTTGTTGTGGGATCCTTCTACTCTGATGACGTAAGCAAGGATATGGTGGATTGTGTACTCATTTATTATAATTATTAGATCTATGCTGATTGATTGATCTGAATCAGTGGTTTGATCTGTTTTGATTATTGAAGGTTTTGAATTGTTTATTAATAATTCAGATTAGTTGATACTTGATGTAGTAGTTCACTGAGATTAATCAGTGTTTTTGAAGAGTGATATTGTATTAATTTACTGTTTATAGATCAATTCTGATTATGGGATCAAATGAGCTAATTGAGCTAGACTTTTGATACTTAAGTTTGAACTTCAATAAAGTGATTTTGGTTGTTTGTATAGATAATACATGATATTAATTGGGTAGTTTGAGTGGGATTTGTACTTTAATGATTCGTCCATTGTTGTGTACTTGTGTATGATTCGGTGCTGTGGCGAGTGATCAGAGTTGGCCATTAAGTACAACAATGTGATCAGCAGCCGCCTAGAATTGCTAAGAGAAGGATTGCAATCTCCCAATTCTGCTTTTTTATGAAAAGAGTTTCACATCCAATGATAGATGTTACAGAAAGATAATTGGTTCTGAGACTTAACTACACAAATTCACTAACAGCTGATTTTTGCTGAGATTAGAATTTGTTGAACTGGAAAATAAAGATTAAAGGAATGCACAACTATAAAGACTATGATATTATTGTGTAATTATTTTGTTGGTTTGGATGATTGATTGTTTTGCTATAATAGCTTGTTGCATTTTTAGATTGTGATGAATTTGATTTTTGTTTTCTTGGAACTATTCCAAGTAATTATAATTTTTATCTTGTTCATATTTTTCAATAGATTTTTATTTTTATTGTTATTTTCCTTAAAAAATAAATAATTGTTAATTTTTTTTGTTTCGTATTTGCATATTCCAATTGCACCTTTTTGAGTACTAAGATGGTAAAAGTTCATTCAAATACGAGCACCCTTGTGGTTCGTACAATTTCTTTTTTCTGTGCCCCTTCAAATTTTGAATTTTTGGTGTAATTTGAATGTTTGATGATCAATTTTGAAAATATGCATCTGGGTTTGTTCTAATGATGAATCTTGGAAGCAAATGGTCTTAATTGATAATTTACGTGATTTTAATTGATACTTATACTTGCTAACCAATAAGATGGGTTCAACTTTAAGAATAGATTGAATTTTTGCGGCAAGTTTAATTATAATTTCTTACTCCTAATGATACAACACTATTCATAAGCATTATTAGAAGTAAAATTTGATTTAAATTCTTATAATTTGGATTATTATCGACCCTTTAATTATATAGTTGCTGGTGAAAAAAAAAAGTTAATGATGCTCATACGCTAGCATAAACCAACCTTGACTGAGATGGACTTTGATACAATAATTTTTTAGAAGTTAGCTATAGAGATTATTGAGATGTAATGCCTGGGAAAGCTATATAGCCATATCTGTGGTAGTTGAGTGAGAAACATAGAAATTAACTAAGAAAGAAATGCAGACTCATGAAGCAATAATACATGATGAGGAGAGCCCAGAAATTAAAACAGAGGGAGTTCATCAAAATAATAATGGCAAAGAAATCAAGGAAAATTCTATGGAGCAACATAAAGTATCTCTTATGAGAATCGTTGTTGATCGTCGAGATCCATCGGCTAAGATTAGTACCGAACTTATGTGTGTAACATCTTCGGTAATAGTGATTGTACTATTATTATGATCGGAATTATTGTTGAGTGTATTATACTAAGTCATAGTTCAACTGAAAAAGTGGAAATTCTGGTTCATGATTAAATTATATGCAAAAAGGAATTAAATTTTTTAACAATGACAAAAAGAGGAAATCATGGGAAAAATAGTGTCAATCATGCTGCCCCTGAATATGTGATGACTGGTATGTTACAGAGCTCAAACATTCTATCAAATTGAACTTTTGTCCTTCCTTCTTTTGCCTAAGGCTTCTTGTATTATCATCTTCTTACATGTTGGGACAATTGCTACAAATGTCTCAAATCACAATATTTTCTCTGAACTAAAAATAGCTTACATTGGCTGCTTGTTATTTTTTTAAGGTTTCATGAAATTTATAGTCTTCTTGCACTTTCTGATAATGATCACTGTGACGTGTTGTTGATGCGTTTTAATTTCCAGCAAAAATACAAGTGTATATTTGTCAATTCATACACTCATCACTTGCACTTGTATTGTTGCAAATCAGAAAAATTGTATTTTGATATCACACATTTAGCGACTATTATCAAAATACACTAATCACTGTCTGATATAATTATGTCTTGGTGATTCTTCCCATGAGTTTTCACTCAAACTCGCATTCTCAGTTTTATACTTTTGGTAATGTTATCAATTTTAGAGCATGGTAAATGGACTTCATTGAAATTTCCGCATAAAATTCATCAAACTAATTCTAAGGCAGTGATGTAAGCCATATTGCACTTGTGCTTCCCTGCATTATCGTGTTTCTACTGTATTAAATAAAACTGTCTAACAATGATCTTTCAAAACATGGTTCCTGACAGCTCACATTTAAACATGATCTCCCCATCCTCACATTCCATCTTAACTTAAAACCTTTGGACTTTTGCCTGATGTTTTGCTTTCTTATTTATCTAAGAAATGGCGTCAAGAGTTTGGAGTGGATGATCTGTCTGAAGACTCAATGCAAAGGGCAGCTCAAACAGGCAAAAGCTCTGTGCATGACTTCCTCGATGTGAATGGGAGACCCCAGCTTATAGTGCAGGCTTCAAAACATTACACTGGAGTAAGTACCTTAGTTCCACTGGCCAAAGCTTTAACTTCTTATTATGTTTGTCAATTGTTTTGTAGCCTATAAAGCTATAGTACATCATTCGTTGACTTTGGTATGTTAAAGTCATTTCTGTCTGCAACTGAGCATATCATATCAAATTCTGGGTAATTTTTGTTAGTTAGGTTTAGTTTGAAGAGAATGTTGATTGCAGCAATAACATGAATTGTCCAGTGGTGTATTAAAAGTGGCTAGCAGATATATCAGCTTATAGACTGTAAGAAACTAAATGGTCTGGCAGACATGTTGCAGAAATTTCCAAGATTATGCATGAATATATTGAATTATACTCTAATGGGTGAAAGTAATATATTTCACCCTTCAAATTTAAAGTGACTTATTATGTTCCCTTACCTTCGTTATTTCGCACAGGCCCATCTGATGATGCATGCATAATGGGCTAATTACAGATGCGTGTTTCAGATTGAGAAAGATCTTAGCAAGATCCCAGAAGGCCAAGAACAGATATTTGGGATAATCGACCTCAGGGGCTTTGGTACTGACATTTTTGGTAATCTACCTTTTACCTTCTACTGAGTAACAACCTCTTTACAGTTTCTGTATTACACATTTACACACACTAGACTTGTGGTTTGTTCTTTTCACCCTGAAAAATGGCTTTCAGAAACTTTGTTTCATTAAGGTTCCAATAAGTTAAGATAAGAACATTACTCATTTCAATTTACAGCCAAATAAACTTAGATCAATTAATATAAGCTCCTATAAGTTCAAATAAGCTCTAGTAAGTTTAGAAAAGCAAATTTCAGGTGAAAATTAGTAAAGAATGATGTTTTAGTGGAGAGATGACCGTTGAGTCAATCTTTAAGTTCAACTTAGCCCATACCTTTTCTATTATAGGTGTGATATTGAAAATTAAAAGACCACTAGAATTTTCAAAGTATGATGCATATGAAACACCACCTCTAAAACAACTAAGTGGATGCCCTGGCAAAATAAATGCAGATCTGGGAAGTTCTAACTTGTATCCTTTTATGCAGTTTGATGTCTTCTACTATTACTATCCAAAGATATTAGGCCAAGTGCTCATGGGGGAAGTGCCTTTTGTTTTAAACCTCTTTGGCAGCTGGCAAAGCCCCTCCTGAAAAAGCATGCATTGCTGGTATTGTATCTGTTTCCTTTCATATGAATAACAGCTTGTTCTTGTTCTATTATACAACTCTTTCTGTAACATCTTTTTCAGGTTGCTCTTGTTAATGGTATTGCTATAGGTGGACTAGAGGTGCATCATTGCCAAGAAAAATCGGTTGGTTTCGTATACTTGAAAACAATTCTTTCATGTGCCTATTACCACCTTATTCACCTCAGACAATTACCTTCTCTTCGTATAGGTTTTTGCCACTCCTGAAGTTGCTATTGGGTTTCACACTAACTGCGGCTTCTAGTACATACATTACTTTAAATGGATTATAGCTTTAAATTAAGGTGATGTTGTAAAGCAAGATTTGAAATGGGTGGATTTGTTTGATGTGGAATTATTTATTTTAAGACTATAATTTGGATTTTGACAATCAAAATTCATACTACTCTATTGCATAAATCATACCTATTTAGAGGGTTTAGATTTTGAAGGTTGGTTTCTAATACGGAGTATATAGTAATCTATATAAATTTTTATATTCTTCGTATTATTTTGATCAATTTCTAGATCCAATTTTTTTATTATTAAACGACAATAATTATTACACCATACTACATTGTATCTCAACGATATCGGTAAGGAGCCCTTAGATGTCGTGGCAATGGAGATAAACGTCAAGAAAGCATTAGATGCGACGTTTTATCGAACCAAGAGTAGCTTAGAGCTATTAGCAATTGGATTGCTTACCTTAAAATATTAAGTGTTAAGACAAGCCAAAGCATGCTAAATCACTTTTTGATTTTTGGGATCTTGGAATCGTTTTATTCTCGCCTAAAAGTGATAATTTTAAATGTGTGGATGAAACGCTAATAAGATTGAAAGTTTGCATGTATGCTTTAAATTTCAAACTTATTGGTTTTATGAATGGTTTTTCATTGCAAATTCTTTCATTTGTAGTAAAATGTATGCAATTAACAACAACATCATGTGCCCGAAACTCCCCGACAAGTTGGATTTTAGCCTAAACTTGGTCAACTTCAAGGAATGGGAGGAGGAACTCCGGAAAACTCTACGGAATTGTTCCATGGAGTACATTTTGGATACTTCCATTCCAAGCTTCTACTTGAAGGGAATCATGAGTGATGAAACTCATGATGCATAGTCTTCCGATTACAAGAGAGTGTCACGACTAATGGCTAATTCCTTCCCGGAAGAATGGAAGGAAAAGTTCTCCTTTTTTTCGGACATGTTCCTCCAAGCACTATTTGAGGACGTTGTCAATGTGAGAGTCACAAAGAGTCTCAATGGCAACTATGATGGACTTGTGTTTGACGTGACTAGGTCACTCTCAAACATGAAGATAAAGCCACCGGAAGAGGGTTGCCTTGCCAAGGAGAGGTACCGGCTTTGGTCTAGGGTCTACAATACCAAATTGAGACCCGGTATGTGTAATACCCTGGAAATTTCCTTCCTTTAAAATATTCCTTCTAATTAAAATAAAACCCTTTTTAGGAAATAACCAAAATATTACCGCCACCGTGATAATGGCTAAGGCTAGTTTTCAAAGTCTCACAGCGGAAGTCTAAAACAAAAACCAACTTTTAAAAAAACAATAAAACATGAGTTCACAATCTCAAAACAAAAGTAGAATAAAACATTCACAAGTTGGAACCAATTCAAACATATGGCCCTTCTTAAAAACTAATTTAAAACAAACATAATAATGTTAGTCCATAAACAATAACCAATAATTCAAAAATATTAAAACTAAGAAACATAACAAGTAACTCTCTGCACTCTATCCCATCATGATCTTTGTTTAGGGTAAAAATACCCTAAGACACGTGGCCCAATAAAGGCCTTCCACGTGTCAAGCTTGCAACGGTCAGCAAAGGCCCAATCCCTCTGCGACACGTGTCATTGTACCCTAATTAAGGTACAGTTCTCCCTACTATAAATAGTACGGGAAGACCTCATTAATGGGGATCGAATCATTTTCCCACAAACCAACAAAACACAAATCCCCTTGCAAACGCTCTCAAATCGAGAAGCATTTATTGTCTTATTTCCACATTTAGAAAGAGACTAACTTAATCTTCGGAGGCGGAACACCCCAGCCCCAGCCGGAGTATTCCGTTATTTGTGCAGGTACAGGCGAAGGAAGGAGCATACTAGGAAATTGTAACTCTCCTGTAGGACACATAAAAAACCCCCAAACATCTGGCGCCGTCTGTGGGGAGAGTACTTTCTAGATGACTTCAGAACCGGTACATCCGGGTAAAAGTAGTCAACCTGCTGGTGAGGTTGAGGTCCACTCGGACCAAGACACAGCCGACAATCATGAGATTGAAACCTACACAGCAGCCGATGGTTCCTTCAGAACCAAGCATACTCGTTCCAAAGACAAGAGGGAAGGAGCAGAGCAGCAGGCAGGCCCAAATCATCCTACCAGGGGACCGCTTGGGTTGACTCCTGCTTCAGAGGGAGCCACCCCAGTCTCCAGAGATGAACTCATGAACATGATGATGAGCTTCAAAGGAGAGATCAAAGGCATCCTGGACAATACAGCCGGCCCCCGTAAGGGTCAGGCGGAAGAAAGGCGTCTGGGAAAAAAGACAGCCAAAACAGTCAAGGGTAGAGCATCTACCCCGCATCCGAAGTCAAAAATGCCGGCCAGGCCCTTTGATTTATCAAAGATACACACTCCCATAGATGGAGTAAGAAAGCCCGTCCGGCACATTCAGCCGGATGGGACCAAGAAAGTCTATTCTGATGCCCGGACGCTCATTCAAGATAAAAAGACTCAGCGATCTGAGTCGGCATCAACATCGACCTTTCGAGACAGCTTCAATGCCACATCAGGGAGACACTCGAGAACAAACAATGACAGCCGGATGAGCGAGGTTTCCGCTCGATCCGGCCCTCAAATGATCCAACCGACATTGCATGGAACACCATACACGCCTTTTGGATCTCCCTATGCCCAACCGGGTCTTTTCAGGGGGCATCAGCAGCCGCCTCTCCAGCCTATGGACTGGCAGCTCCGGCTGCTCAACCTTGGGGAACAGCCAACGGCGTTTTCCAGGGAAATCACCGAGATGACCCAGCCGGCTAAAATTAAAAACGTGTTGGTAGGCGCCTATGACGGTACCACCAACCCGGAAGATCACCTCATGGCATACACCAACCTGATGTATTTGCAGGGTTTGGATGACGCCTCATGGTGCAGGTGCTTCCCGACAACGTTGAAAGGGATTGCTCAACGTTGGTTTGGTAACCTCCCAGCCGGATGCATCAATAATTTCTGGACCTTGGCCTACTGTTTTACGTCCAACTTTTCTATGAACATCCCTGCCAAGAAAACAAGCCTTGATCTAGGGGCAATCCGGCAGGGAGATAAAGAGGGGCTCCGGTCATATGTCAGGCGGTTTAACCTGATGAGGATCCAAATCCATGGGTTGTCTGATGACGTTGCCTATACTGATTTCTTTAAAGGTTTAAAAGACGGATCAACTTTTAAGTTTGACTTGGTTAGGAAGAGGGTCTCTACTCTTCACGAGGCGCTCATGAAGGCGAAGGCCTACATTCAGGCAATGGAATTGTGTGCTGTGAAACTTCCAACGGATTACAAAAGATCCGATAAAAAAGAGAAAGGGGGTATGGGCGGCAGACTCATCCGGACAACCTTTCCAGAAAAGAAAGAGGTCAGATCCGTATGTGCCAAAGTACGAGTTCAACAAGGACTGTGCCTCCATTCTCCACGAAGTAAAGGACCGGTTGAATCTTGAAAAACCGGCTCCTATGAAGAGTCCTCTAAGCGCCCGGGATAAGAGAAAATATTGCCTTTTTCATGAGGAAATTGGCCATGACACTAAGGGTTGCTTTAGCCTCAGGCGGCTCTTTGACCGACTGGCTGATGAGGGGGATCTCATATCATACCTTTCCAAGTCAAAGGGTGCTCCCAAACAAGTAAAAGGACCAGCCCCAAAGAAGCCGGCTACTCAATCGGATACGGATGAGGAAACCATCCTGACCATAGCCGGTGGATTTGCGGGAGGTGGGCCTACCATCCGGGGCACAAAAGATAACATTCGGAAACTGGTCAACTCAGTGGATGAGGGCCAGTCGTCTGAATATTCATTTCCGGAAGTTAACATCTCCGAGAAAGATAGAGGAGAGGTCAGGCGGCCTCATGATGACCCCATAGTCATCGAGTGCAAAATCGCCAATCAAAGAGTTGGCCGGATCTTGATTGATACCGGGAGCTCATTCGACCTCATCAGCTACCGGTGCTTGGAAAAACTCAAGTATAAGCCCAGTAGCATGCATCCGGCCTCATATCCTCTTGTAGGTTTTGGGGGAGGAGTAGTACATCCGGTGGGCATGATTGATCTACCCATCCGGTTCGGAGAAAAGGGGAAGAGCCGGCACATGGTTGTCAAGTTTCTTGTTATAGGAGAGCTGACTGCCTACAACTTGATTATTGGCCGCCCAACTCTTAACATCTCAAAGGCAGTCATCATCCCATCTCTAATGTTGATCAAGTTTGAAAGGGATGATGGCACAGTCGGTTCCTTGAGTGGGGACCAGAAGATGGCGAGAGAGTGTTACCTCTCGGACATCAAACCAACGCTTGACACAGACGGTCAAGAGAAAGAAATAGTTGAGCTTGACGACTGTGATCAAAGCTTACCGGCTACTAAGCCAGCCGGTAAAAAGAGGAAGGCGGACCAACTAGCGCCTGTAAAGGAGAAACAATAGCAATCACTGTCCGGGGAGAGGCCAGACGTCCTTCGCCCCCAGCCGGCTGGAGAAATAATTGACATTGTCCTTGAAGACAGCCGGCCAGACAGAACCGTCAAGATTGGAACGGTTGCTTTTGAAAGCTTGGGATCAGATTTGCTCCTTTTGCTGAAAGAGTTCAAAGATGTGTTTTCCTTTGACGTAGAAGAGATGCCGGGTGTGAGTCTGGATCTTGCTGTTCATAAACTCGTTGTGGATCGTAAAAAGAAGCCGGTCAGGCAAAAGAAAAGAAACCATGGCGAGGAAAGGTCCCAGGCGGCAGCAACCGAGGTCAAGAAACTCTTAGATGCTGGGTTCATCCGGCAATGTTACTACCCGGATTGGGTAGCCAATGTCGTCCTTGTGAAAAAGCCAAATGGAACCTGGCGGATGTGTGTAGATTACACGGACCTGAACAGGGCTTGTCTAAAAGATAGCTACCCGCTTCCAAAGATAGATCATCTGGTAGACTCTACAGCCGGCCATGCCCTGATGAGTTTCATGGATGCCTACTCCGGCTTCCATCAGATACCCTTGTGGAAGAAATACCAAGAGAAGACGGCTTTCGTCACGGATCAAGGGCTATACTGCTACACGGTGATGCCGTTTGGGTTGAAGAATGCACCTGCCACCCATCCGGTGATGATTAAGTATCTTCAGGCGGTCAAAGAGGAGGCTGGGGCATTTGATGAATTCAATCTAAGTCAAGTACCTAGATCCGAG